GATGGTGGTCACACCATCCTTAGAAATGACTATAACCAGGTACTTTCACGTTGGTTTATGTCCCAGCAATCTGAGACACCACATTCATAGCCATGACCTCTTACAGCAATGACACAATGACCAACAAGAAGGAGGCTTGTGACTGCATATGCAGTATGGAGACCACTGAAGAAACACCATTTCTCAGTGCTTAGGTTTATGTATAAATCTCCCTTCTACAAATAAGAGTTTGTTTTGCAATTTTTCCAACCATAACTATATATGAGCAAACATTAGCAGATCTTTTAAACTCACGAGAATCCTTCTGTAAGAGGGAAAAATCAGGCCATCATTACTCCTGTTTGTCACATGGCTCAAAGAAGTCCCATTAGTGTGCATCCAGCCCCTTTATATGAAACTGAGAGCAATGAAGATGCTGACAGCTTCTATTTGTCCATATGGAATCCTGCAGAGATGACAGAGAAAACATCCAGCATTAATAATAAAATAAACCCCTCTTCATGTTAACAAAAAAATACCTTTACAATGATGAAAAGATTTGGGTTCCCTCCAGTGTGGTTTTCTCTGCGTGGTTGGTTTTTGCATTTCTTTCAGCTTGCTCCTTGTAATCCATTTCCAGTTGGGTTTTTTTCTTCCCAAGTCTAACATAAAGCCTGATGTTACAAACTTGGCCTGTGACAGCTTCAGGATCATGTTTATTTGTTTAGACAAAGTCTCTTTCCTTCCAAGTCTATTTTAAATACCATGGAAACAGTCTCTTCATCCTGAGGTTTTGTTTGTCATTGTTAGTTATTACAAACCTTGCTCAAGGTCAGCAGTGACCCAACCATCCTTTGCAGAAGGCATCGTCCACAATTCAGGGATGGCTTTGGGAGGCCCTGAGGGAACAAGGGAGAGGAGAGGAAGATCGAGAGGCAAGAACTTTTCCTAGGTGGTTTGAAAGGTTTCTTTTTCTTCTAAATGTGCTTGACCAGAAGTAACCACGAGGCAAGAGCTGAAGCATAAACTGTGCAACGCTCAGGCCTGGACTGGCCCTGTGTCAAGAGACAAACTCTGGTGAGCTGGGTTTTTTTCCCCCTGTCCTTATGGTTGGGAATGTGCCATGATTTAAAAACCCTGTAGCATTAACTGCCCCATTACACAAAGCAGAAAGCTGAGTGACTAACCTCATCTGCTAGAACAAGTGTTTTAATGCTGTTCAAAGTTCGAATCAATCAAAAGGTCAAACTTGTTTAAGGCAGTGAGTGATAAGAGAGGGGATGGCTCAGGAAGCTCATTCCCAGCCACTGGAATAGAGCCAGCCTGGCTGCAGGAAAAGCTCCAGATAGCACATACCCTGGAGAACAGTGACAGCTCAGAAATGGAGAGCTGAGACTCCCCTTACTGGAGCCAGTGGCTGGAGGGAATTCCCATCAAATGCAATAGAAGCATTTAGGGACTGGTGAATAATAGGACCCTGGTGAATAGGACTTTAGGAAATTGTCCTGGCAAGGCTTGGTCAGAAGTCAAGCCATGGTTTCTTTAATTCAGTGAGGTTTTCAGTCAGGTGGTGGAATGGACAGTTAGAGGAAAATGTGATTTTCTAGCTGGAAGATTTGTTCCTTTTGAAGAAGGAAAGACCGAGGTTACATTGGTAACTAAGTGTGCTCACAGCACAGCAGCTCTCTGAAATGGCAGATCTCTGGTGGCCTCTCCACCAGCATGGGCAGCATGGTGGATGAAGAGAGATGTGCAAAACTTCTGGTCAGTGTGAAAGGTGTGAGGGCAGCTGATTCTAAAGACAGAGGACAGTTTACCTCCTCTGGGAGGGACAGGGAGGAAGAGGAAATTCGTACCTTGCTCAGCTGAGACTGGAACAGACCTTTTCCCCCACACCATCGAAGGCAGGTTTTCCCTTGCAGTGCTTGCTTCTGTGAGGGGGAGAACATGGTTGCTGTGGAAAACTTACCTTCTGGTGCTGAGTGGGGCTCCTCAGCAACTCCAGTAGCTCTTTGGAAAACTCTTTCCACAGTTTGAGCTGTCGGCTTCCCCAGGGATCTAATGGCTTTAGTTAAAACAAAGGGGGAAAAAAGGGAAAAGAAGGAGGGGAAGGAGGCAGTGAGGTCTTCTTATGGTGTGTTCCTGCTGTGTGAATTATGATGGGGGACATTGCTGGGGAGCGAGAAATCCCATTAGCTTCCATGGCACATGGCCGTGCCTTTGTGGGCTTGCAAGGGATGGATTTTTTATATATACTTTTGTCCGAGAAAGCATTCTCCTAGGGCCAACTACAGAAAAATTCCCTGGCATTTTTGGTGGGATTCCCTATTACTTACACACCCAGGATTTTCTGTGCTCCAGCTCTGGTGAGTGACCCATGCTTTCAACACATCCAGGGCCAAATGAGGATCTTCTGGCTCAGGGATGAATCTGTCCAGTTTTCTTGTACAGGAAAGATGTAAACAGTTCTATGGTGAAGAAAGATGACATTGAGGATAAGGAAAGGTGGCCCTGGCTACGGCCTGGCTTTAAGAAGAATGGATTGAGGACCGAGTAACAGACCTGCTATATCACAGGACCACAATTGCTTGTTAGATCTGATGGGAAGTGGGGGAAGAGGGACGCTACAGCAGCCTGGGGCTGTGCTGGTGGATGAACAGCAACTCATTTGTGTTATCATATCTAACTGAAACTAAACAAGAACTGAAATCAACTTTGCTCCCTCCGCTCAGTTCTGCAGAAGCACTAACACAGTGCAGACAACCGGCATTTTGTGATGTTCTGGGCCTGTTTCTGTTGATGATGGCCTCTGCACGGTGAGCAAGGCACTGGCCCCAGGTTTGCCAAGCCAGTGGCCACTGCACAGCGGCTGCATGGCAAAACCATTGACATGGTGATAAGAAATACAGGATATCTTCTGAGAAAGCAGGAGGCATCAGAGGCCTGGGATGCGGGTGAAGACCAGGTGAAAGTTCCCTGCAGACCAGCTCCAGATTGCTCAACCCAGGCAGGCATCTGCACATCCTCCAGCCTCAGAGGTTAGATCCACTCTGCTTTTTATTAGCCTTCACCTTCGCTGTTGGCAAAACCAGAAGCAGCAGCAGTGTTGCAACAGAGAACGTTTTGTTGGGGTTTTTTTCTGAGCTCTGATTCATGAAACCAGATGCATCTGTGCTGTTTTCGAGCTCATTTGAATGTATGCAATGGAATTCTAGCTTTGAAAACTCATCAGTTACCAGGTGTCTTTTAAATTGCCTACCTTGTAAAATCATCGGTTACCAGATGTCTTTTAAGTTATAAACCTCTGTAGTCAGAGGTTAAAACTGTGTCAAAACAGTCACTGATAAGGGTTCATATTATACTTAAAATACATGGTGATTTCCTCCAGCTCTTTCTCCTGAGAAGTTCTCTCATGGCAATTATATGGCTCACAAAAGGTTTGCTACCCACCCATCCCTATCATTTCAGTCCCAGATTTAATGATAAATGCTTTTGCTAATTAACAGTTGCAGTGTCTCTGTACCTCTGTCTGGTAGATACCTCATCTCTCTGACAATAGGAGAAAAAGGCCTGGAAGAGTCATGAGAGCTGTGTGCTGGTGAGAGGTACCTGCACCTGAACAGTCCGGATCCAAGTGGAGATCTGGAGTTGTTTGTAAGCAGAATTTTGCCCTGGACCTGGTTTTGAGCTCTAGGTAGCTGGAGGGGCAGGGATGCTTGCAGCGTTCCTAAGGTAATAAAGGGGTTTGTGTGCCATGTGGAGCTGGGAAGGAGCCATGGACGTCAAAAAGATGAGCAGGTTGAGCAGTGATTCCCTCAAGGGTCTCCTCCAGCCTCTGTGCTGTCTGCCAAAAGCTCATACTGAGTGACTATTTTGGGATAAAACAACACCGAGTGTTACTTTGGAGATGTTTGGAGAGAAACTTAATAAAATTAGCTAATAAGGGTTGACATGCTGAAGATTGGAAAGAGCCATTCCGAACATCTGCCCTGGGAGGCTTAATGGAGACATGGGTGTCCTGGGGCTGGGGTGCATTCTCCTGGGATGGCTGGTGGGACGCAGCCCACGCCATGCTGCAGACAGCTCCCGTCTTGTGAAGCCACCTCTGACCCGTGAGCGCAGACCACTGGGGTAACTTGGCACTGCCTGCTTGCTTTGAGAGAAGAAAAAGAAAGAGCAAAAAGCGGGCTCTGCGCTGCTGTGCGCTCAGGCTGGGAGCAGCGAGCTCTGCATGCGGCTGGGGGTGGTAACTTCAGCAGCTGTCCCTGTGTACATCGGCCTGTCCCGAGATCGGAAGGTGCACGTGGTTGCACAGGGGGAGCAGAACAGCAGAGCCGCAGCACTGCCCTCACCGCTTGGGACAGGCACCGCTGTGAATTGCTCTGGGCTTCAGTTTCTGCCTTTGTTCTGATGTTGGCTTTTTTTTCCCTTTCTTTTCCTTTTTTGTCATAGGACCAGCCCAGAACGGAATCACGGGATCAGTGTTCATCGCGTTCCAAATAATCTATACCCTGTTTTTAGTGCTGACACTGTGTATGAAAGGCTATGTCACCGCTGCGCTCATGTTTCCATGTGACACTGAAGCTTACTGGTTTTTCCCATTTCATAACTAATAAGTGAAGTGAGCTTGACAGCCACGGTTTCAGCTTTACCCCCTTGGTTCCCATGTCACAGATAGGCTCAGTTAGCAGCAAATTCTTGTCAGGAGAAGAGAATTACTGTTCAAGCTTGAAATGTGCTAGCGTCCAGTGCAAAGTTTTAAATTCTTGACCAAAGTTGGATAAATCCGGCTGAAAGCGTGACGTTAGAAATACATTATCTATTTATTTTCTCCTTCTGACCAAAAATACCTAGGGTGGAGCTATGTGCCTTATTTGCATCTAATCAGAGAACAGTCGAGCTTCTCTAAAGAGATGAGTAAACAGAGCATCTTAAATATTCTGTTTCTTAAAATCTGTGCTATTCTTCCTATATGTGTATATGTTACCTACATTTAAGAAATAGGAACAAATGGTATGCATGTACATATCTTTAAAGAAAAAAGAATGATTGGTTTTCAAGGTGCAGGAGGGCTTATTTATCTAGCAATAAGAAAACAATGTTAGCTCTCCCACAGTAGCCTTTAATAGCTCTGCATTCCAGCCTGAGTACAGATGGAGCTTTGATATTATAGCAGTTTTGCAGTGACTGTGTGCTGTATATCCTGCTGCTAATCCTATGGTGGAAGTCAGTGCCTCTTAACACCTGGTGCCAAGACACAACCATTTGCCTGAACCTGACACAACTGATTTCAGCAACAGGATATGCAGTGTCGTGGGCTGGATTTGGGCATATCCTAGCTTGGTAAGTCAACACCAGGCGCCTTCTCAGACTGATGCTGTGTGCTGAAATCCTCCTTCTCCTCATCTAAAATTGCTCCTCCGAAGCTGCCATTCTGGGCTGCCCTCCTGGGTCACTTTCAGCTCAGTTATTTACCCAAGCTCCATCTTTCTGTGTTCGTTGGGGACTGCTCCTCCCCTCCAGGCACGCAGAAAGAGGATTTGTTTTTAGACTATGGTTTAGTTACAGTTTCCAGCAGGATGAGCTGGATCTCGCATCACTGCTTGGGCAAGGGAGAACAGCATGTGAAATACAGTAGCTTCTGGGGTCAAATGAGGAGCAGGTGCCTGCAGAGCTGGGAGTCCCAGGCTCTTCTCTGCAGCCCTGGGCTCCATCAGGGTGATGCTGTTTACTGAGCCTCCCTTCTGGCTGTGGAGCACAAGTGCTCTAATGACTGAAGTCAGATGTAGAGTCCTGATGGTTTTGGTCTCTGCTAACTTTGGGCAGCCAGATCGTGTTCTTTGAGAGTTTTCTAGAAGCTGAATGCAAGAATTTGGGGGCTGGGGAGAGAAGGCTTTTTTGGTAATGGCTTGCTAAATTTATGGTAAATCTGAAGGTACCCTTAGCCTGACCTCTGGTACATAACATAAAGTATTGAATTTCATGCACTTAACTCCCACAGTTTATCCAAGAACTGGCTGACCACAGTACTTTCCTAAGAAAAGAAATGCTTTCAAATGCAGCCATTTCAGCATGGTAGAGTTCCTAATTCTTATTCCTAATGACATGCCAACAGATAGGAGTCACATAGATTTTCAAGAAGGCTCTTGCACAAATATCTCCTGACCAAGCTCTCCCTGCCTTCCCCTTAACCCCACCTTTCTCCCCAGACCTCATTCTGTCTGCTGCTTGTCTCCTCTCCTGATCATGCTGGAGGTTACAGACACATCAAATAAGCTAAAGGGGCAGAGGGGCAAGAGGTATCCATTTGGGGAATAAGAAAGGGGCAGGCTGAAAGTGAGGATCATTTAATCCAGCTCAGCAGCAATGGGGATAATCTGACCTTGCCCCACATTTGGGTGGGAAACTGTCAACTCACAATAGGTATTCATTGTTCCACACAGATGTTTGCAATGATGTTCCTTTGCCTTGCAGTAGTGCTGTGACACAAACCCTGTTGGGCTGGAGACTTCACCAGTGCAGACCAAAAAGCTGTCCCTACCCCGAAGAGGTGTCAGACTCCCAAGGTACTTACTTATCTTCACCCATTCATTTCCCTTTTTCTTTTTCTTTATTTCTTTTTCAGTACCCAGACTCACATACAATGACAAACGAATGGTTTCATGTAACTTGAGATAGGGAGAACTGGGATAGACGTGTTGCCATCCGGCACTGACCTGCCTGAGATAATGGAAAATTGAGGGATCTGTGTGTGGGATGCACAGATCTGGAGAGCTGCAGCATGGCTTTTCTACAGTGACATAGCCAAAGATATTCTAGAGATTATCCTCCAAAAACTCAGTGGTCAAGGGCTAAATGACTTAAATAGCAGTCAAATGTCTGTTTACTATCAATCACTATCGCCACTTGAACGGCATTAATGAAAGTTTCGTGATAAAGGCTGCCATATCATCCGGAACTGAGATACCAGACTAATGAGCTCCTGCAAGGCTGGAGGAAATGCTCCTTTCGGCAGCAAGAGAGACGATGTGTCGCTTTCCTGAATTAGGCTGAGTGAAACGGAGGGTCAGGCTCTCCAGAGAGAAGCAATTTGTTTCACCTTTTGGTGTTAAAGGACTGCTTTATCCATGTGTCGGGAAAGATTTTGGCTACCTTGAGAGAATTTAGAGTCCAAGCAGACAAACCTTGCTGGCCATTTGCAGTGGCCTGGGCTGAAAGCCACTTCAGCAGCACAGGCAGTGTTATTGCTACCCTGAGGGGTAGCAGAGGGTGTTCACTGTACATCCCTCTGCTATAACAGCCTTCCTCCTTGGAGAAAATGGATTGAAAATTGTATTTAATGTTGCTGATTACAGTTATATTCCAGATTTATTACCTGTTGGTTTTTTTTGTTCGCTGTTTGGCTGCCTGCTCCCCCTCCATCTGCCAGCCCTGTAATCCACCTCTTCTTATCTCGGCACAGTTTGCTCCACCTCGTGCTCATTTTCATTTTATTGCCTAGCTAATCTCATCTTCCTGCTTTTCCTGACACTGTCCCCCCCCCATCTGTGGAGATTAAATCAGTGCTCCTTTTGTTTAATGCCACTCAAAATTCCCTCATTCCACTCAGGCTTTGGGATGCTTCCAGGCACTTTGCTGTTGTTGCACACATCCGTTTTCCTGGCACAAAAAGGCCTGTCAGCATCTGATGGAAGCGTTAGTGAGTCCTCGCTTCAACCAGTTCTCAGAGATGTCCTGAATCTGAAATGGAGCTTAGCTCAGCCTGAAACATGCACAGTGCAGCAGAGGCAGCTATATGTGTCTGGTCACCACAGGAGCACCAGCAGGATGCTTATGACATGTCTGTAGTGGTGTCAGAGCCTGGCACCGGAATATTAGTTGAGAAAAATCTAGTTCAAAGGCATGGGTTAGAAAATCTCCAAGCTACCAAATGTGAAGATTTGGAAGTGGTTTCTCAGATTAGTAGGTGATGTGTCAGTGATGTATCACATCATCCCTATTTACAGCATCTAGAGGCATGCCAGTATTTATGGCCTCAGCAGTCTCTTGCATTAGTTCCTGCTGAGGTTTTTAGGTTTGCAGTTGACACCAGCATCCCTGTTGAAGGGTAATAAGTGCATCCTGGTCTGGGGGCACAACTGCGGGTACGAGTGGGAGCACTGGGTGTTTCAAGCCACATGTTTCTGGCACCCTCCTGCCTTCCTGCAGCTGTGAACAGTGCTGGAGACTCTCCTGCTCATACTCCCTCCACCTGTGTGACTGTGCGAGTCCACTGCCTTCAGTGCTGCTAATGTCTGTCCCAAATTGGAACAGCAGAGCCTTTAACCCCAGGCAATGTTGGAATGGATTACAGCTGAGGGACCAAGCCCATGGAAAGGACTCCTCACAGCTGCCAGTCTGCTGCTCTTCCCTGCTGCAAGCATCCATGCACGTTTGTTGCCAGCAAGAACAAGTCCTAAAGTCCTGGTTCAAATAAATCTCCCCTTCAAGTGCATGGGGGATACTCCTCTTAGTGAGGACCACTGCTGTTTGGCCGTAATCATTGAGTCTGGTTATTTTTAATCTGTTTGGGTTTTATCTCTTGCCTCAATTCTCGATTGGCAATGCCAGCCATGATGCATTTTCTGTATCTCCCCTCACTACGTCTATCTGCCAGCATGTTTTAAATAAGTCTAAAGAGTACAAGAGCTAAAAAAACAATCCAAATGGGCAGCTTAAGATAAAAGCCAGCAGCATGTGTTTAAAAATAGACTGGGCAGCCCTGCGAGAGGTGCCAAGTAAGTGGGTGCACGGGAGGGGAACAGCGTGGGCTGAAGAGGCTCTGTTTAAACAGGAGGTAAATAAGGGGCAGGGGGAGCTGCAGTTCATTTTGTTCGCTTACGTGTTGCTCAGATAATGCAATGGATCTCCAGGCAGGCTCTAAAAGTGGACACAGCTCTTGGGTTTCACCGGGTGACACTCAGGCGGCAGCTCTCCTGCAGAGCCTCCTGCGGAGCGCCCATGGGAGCAGTGCAAGTGCATGCCAGCAAAATGGTATTTGGTGTTTCAATACCAGCAGCAGCACCCAGCTCTCAGTGCTGGCGCTTTAGGAGGAAGACTTTTGCAGTGAAGAATGTGCCTTTGTGTTACACCGAGGGTCCTGACACAGAAGGGGCTGCCTGTAAATCCTCTTTCCTGCTGTGGCTGACCTGTGAAACAGCAATCATCTGACAGTGACAATGGCACTTAGTAACTCAGGATTAAAGTGTCCTGTCCAGCAAGTAATTTTACAGAAGCAGAGGTTAGGATTGAAGCAGATTTAATACAACACAATCGTCTTGAAAGTCTCCTTGGCATGTTAATGGTGTTTTTCTTTGGTCTACATATACATAAGATGCTGAAAAGATGTGTCATCCTGAGCAGAGGATAAAATGGACTGAGAAAAGCATTCAAAGATCTTGTCCAAACTCCACGCTATTGCACAATTTTGTGAGCCACTGGCTTCCCTGGGATAGGGCATCATCCTGCTAGGGCTGCACTAGTCACCATTCCTCTCTCAGTGCTCCAGGATGAGTGTTAGTGTCTTTATCTTTCTTCTTATTCTCTTTCCTTCCTAGGTGAGCTCAGCTCACCTGTGAGAAAGGATGAGTATTTGTTAACCTTCACTGGCTGTGGCAGTGATGAACCGGCCCTTCCCTGCTCCCAAGGAGGCTGTGTTTGAATTGGGCACGTGTTGCTCACTGTCACGGAGAATTCTTCTTTTCTTGGCCAAATGAATCTTCTCAGGCTGTCCCTGTTGTGTAAACAGCAAATTCAGGGGGGAAAGCACAGCAGTGCTCCTTGGCCAGCCATGGTTGTGTTAGTTGTGTTCTCAAGTTGACAAGTAGCTGTGTTCTCATAAAGGACGCAGCAGAGAGTGAAGCCTTCCTCCTGGGAATAGAGTGTTCCCCTGTAAAGTTGGTGCCTGTTGGGTGAATTGCTGTCTACAAGATTGATTAGCTTAGAAAGGAGATGGATAGAATACTTGAGAGAAATGAATCATAATGAATTGTTGTATCTGAGAAGTGACAAGCTAAATTTATGCATGCTCTGGACTACTTGTTTTAGTCAGAATGGAAAACAGTGTCATGTATTTTGCTGTTGTTTTGTTTTCATTTCTGGATGTGGGGAAGTAAATCACTGTGGCTTGAGTTTGTAAGGTCTTGCGATTGTTGACTGCACAGTGTTTAATCTCTCTCTTGAGTTCTTGAGCTGGTCTGGGAGCAGCAACTCCTCTGGAATCAATACGTTTGCCCCTGCCTTCAACAAATGCGATTTTGACCTGTTCATAAGCATGAAACTTTTAAGCTAAAAGAGAAAAAAAACATGCGTTATCCTGATACTATGAGTGGTAGTGTTCTATGGCAGTTATCATTGAGGTGTAGCACCCTCATCTAGGACAGTAGATTCACCTCCCATACCAAGGTGAATCAAGGAAGCTATCGGTCATCAGAACCTTCAAGCTCTCACAGAGATTCCCAGAAGAATCTGGAGGTTTTCTATGGAATTAGACCTGGCAAAAATAGCAGTCTAAGGGGTATGCAGACATTGTAACCCTTGGAATACCTAGGAAATAATGATCAGCAAGCAACTCCTGGAAGATAACTTCTGAAATCTGCATAAGATGAAGGACACTATGAAAAAGATGATCTTTGTGAGAATTTGTTCTTAGTCCCCTTCAAGAATCATAACCCATCCATAGGTGAGCTGAAACCTGTCCCAAACTCTTGTGTTCGATCTGGGGGGTTTTGGTGTGGTACCAAGGGTCAACTGGTTGAAGGTTGGAGGAGCTGTGAGCTGCAAACAGGAGGATTTGAATCCACAGCCTTCCTTTTAAATAGATCAGTGGTTCCAGCAGAGTGAGTGGGACTGCTGCGGTGTTTAAGTTCTTTGCTGGATTGATGCCTCTGGAAGCATTTGGAGAGATTTGACAGATTTTCTGTCTCTTGAAGGTTCACACTGACGTTAGCCCAGCCATGACTGCGTGAGGCAGACCATTGTTTCTGTCACCACTGGGAGAAGACATTTTTCTCATCCCAGAACAAAGAGCACTTCAGGGTTCAAAGACAGAAGGTGCCAACTGACATTTAATATCGCTACTAATTATATGTCAAAAACTAATATAGGTTAGGGCTAAATTAGTGCATTTCTCCAGATGTTTTCACAGTTGCCCTGGCTGCAGCACAATGGGTTATGTTCTGAGCTGTTAGGTACTCATTCTGGCCTTTCTCACCTCCACTGATGTGGTTGCTCCTAGCACGATCAGGTGCAGACTCCCACTTACTAAGTGCTATAAAAGGCATCACTCTGACACGAAGTGGAAAATTCTCCTTGGGGTGCAGAGCTCTAACAGGAGGCAGTCAGTGGGGGTGACTGCTTATAGACCTGGCCCCATGCTTTGAGATGTGAACTCATATACAGTAAGTTCTGTGAAAGCAGCTATTCTTGTTCCTGCCAAACTGCTCTGAAGACCCATACAATGATGTTAATTGTGAGCTCCAAGCTGGCTCTTATCTTTGAATTGTTTTTCTCTAACAATTTTAAGAAGAGCTCAGCATGTTCTCAGTGGGAGCTGATAGATGCTGAGCACTTCTGAAATCCTGCCAACTTCATTTAGGTTCCTAAATGGGAGCTGAGTGCTTTTGAACATATGATCCTAAGGGTGCATTTTATAACACTACAAGCTCTGTCCATATCACTTCTTTCCTCTTTTACTGTCCCCATCATGCTCCCAGCAGTGAAAATAACACTAACAGCACCAGGCTAGTCGAGGCTTGAGTGATGTCTCAGTTATTATGTCAGCTCAAACGACACTGAACAGAATTAAATGACACAGTTAAAAGGCGAGTGCCTGTCTGCATCCTGTCTGCAGTAGGCTCCCCATCATTGCTACTGGCAGTACAGATATAATTGAGATGGGATTTTATGTATGTGTATGTATTTGAAAACAGAAATGTAGTGCAAACTGCCTCATTTTTGAGTATTTCATCGTGCGTTTCAGGCTGTACTTGACAATGCTCTACCTCCATTTTAGGATTCAAATTTTCTCCTAAGTAGATTCTTGGGGCAGATAAAAATGAATATTTTTTAGTGTTTTCAGGGCAGAGGAGGAGGGAACACTGAAGCTTTTCCAATAGTTAGTGCATGGAAGGCATCTGTTTTGGTCCTGTGAGGCTAACATCCTCTCTTGGCAGTGAGTGGAAGAACCACATGTCAGAAAATCTGGGGGGCCCATGTGCTGTGGACAAAAGTATGGCAATGAATTTAAACATGAGTGACTGGAGTGATATTGGAGGGCCGGCTAAAAGCGATTAGCGTAGCGCTCTGGAATGTGGCCTTTCAATAGGCGCTCCAGAAGGATCTGCAGCCCCATTGACTTTTGCAGTGTCAGGAAAGAGCCCCTGTGCTCCAGCTTTTCCCAGTCTGACAGGGTGAACGTGCAGGGCAATACACACAGCGATCACAGAGCTCCCTGCTCTGCTCCCCACATGCCTGATGACTGCTTTCCTGGTGCTTTCCTTCGCTCCAGAGAAATCTGATGCCCCAGAGATTCACGTGGCCACCAGGTTCTCCCGCATGGCTAGAAACCCCCTTGGCAATCTTCATCAGTATTAGGCCATATCCTTGCTGTTTGTTTACTCTGGGCCAAAGCACTAAAAGCCCCCTTTGGCTGTGATCTGGCTGTTGCTAGCTGTGCACTCAGGTAGTATGTCAGTGTGGGGTTTGGGTGTTTTGTTTCCACTGCTGCCTGGGTTTTGGTCTCTGGGAATGCACCCAGCAGGACTGAGCATGTGTCTGCGGCCACATTCACTTGTTTCGTTTCCTTTTCTTTTCCTATATCTCTCCCCCACCTTCTGATTTCTAGGTAGATAAATCAAAGTGTGGAATCAATTACAATAAAGCTAGGGGAGCGCCTCGCTGATGTGACCACATACATTTTCAGTTGAGGTGGGAAAATAATGTACTCATTCAAGCCCTCATCTAGGGCAGGGAATTCCCTAGCTTTTGTCTAAATATGGCATGCAAGAGCAGAGCACAGGCAATGCAATACTTCACTGAGTATTGTTTAAAAGGGTGCTTGGCACCGAGCAGCAAGTAGGATTCTTGTAAAAACATGGCACGAAGAGTTGTTTGACAGATTCTGACATAGCAAAGACTTTACAAGAGGCAGGGAAAAAAAAAGAAAAGGGAAGGAAAAGAGAGAAACTGCAGAGTACATGTAGCCAAAAGCACACTCTCTGCCTAGGAGGAATGCAGAATAAAAGGCACTTAGGACTGAGTCATACCCTGCGTGATATGTGGGTCTGATCCTATTAGTGATCAATGGCACTTAGTTAAAAACACACTCCTGAAAACACACTGCCTGTTGTCAGTCATTCAGGAGAGGTAATGAAGTAATGAGAGCTGGGGAAGAGACTGCTATGGGTTGAACCCACTGACCAAAGTCTCTGTTACAGACTATCCTGGCTGAAGAGTGCCATTCTCTGCTGTCCTGATGTTGCTGTGCAGTTTCGCCCTGCAGGTAGGAGCACTTCACTAACAGATCTTTGAATGCAGTGCTCAGTACCAAGGAATCCTCTGGTCTGGGTAGGTGTCTCCCTTTTTGCAAAGCTTACACTGAGCTGTGGCTTTGAATACCTATTGCAGCAGTGAGCAACAATTCATGCCTGGAAGAAAACCCATCTCCCAGCACCTCTGCCACATCTGGAGACACTGTGAGTCCCTCAGAGCACAAAGGTCTTTACACATATCAGCAATGGAGATTGACTCTTATTACTGACACCAGGCTGTGTGGCTCATACAGAGAAGGTCTCAGCTCAGCCTCCCCTATCTATAGTGAAGCCCTTCCCTGAATTCACCTTGAATGCAGCATCCATACTGGATGCATCACATCTGGAGCTTCCTCGTGTCAGGGGTGAGACACTCTTCCTAGGTCGATTGGTTGGATGGCAATGTAAACTAGAATGGTAGTCTGTAATTAGCACATAACCTCAGGCAGTTTTGTTGTTCCTGAAATGCAAGGACTAAATTGTGTTCTGCAATAGTGTTCACTTAAGGTGGGTCCATTAGCTGCTCTGTGTTTGTACTAGTGTTACTGCAAGCTGTCTGGTATGGAATAGGAACAAGAAGGTCTCTAATCTCCCCCTGTGGGCATCTTCCAGGGAAACCAAAGGGAAGGCCATCACATATTTTACTGTCATCCATGAGCAAAGCAACAAAGTTGAAGAGTTTCTGGGTCTTTTTAGCAAAGCTCAGGAGAGAGCAAAGGCACATGAGCAGTCCCCCACCCTTTTTGAGCATTTCAGGTGATGTTAATTGTTGTGGAGCTTCTGCAAATATTTCTGAAAGCAAATATTTGTTGTCCCCATCCCCTGGAAAATAAGTGTAAGAACTGACTGCCTGCCACTCACCTGGGTATCCCAACAAAACCGAGCCAGGCCTGAGGATAAATAGCAACGACTGCAGAGCTTTTGTCATCAGCTTCTCTAGGAACAAGAGCTGTGATGGGAGAGCAAACAACACCTGCCTGGGAGGAGCTGGGCTGAAAGGGGAGTGGAGGCTGGTGGGCAGAGGCTGTTTGTGCAGCCGTTGGTCTCCAGGGTGGGGCTGCTGGGAGAAGTGGGAGGAAGATGCTATCTCCATCAGCCCATGCTAATGCCATGCTAATGTAAGAGGCAGAATGGATGAGTGCCGTGCTTCCCGTACCCCAGCCAGTGATAGGGGACCTGCTCCTGGCTGCTGTGTGGGTCACACCAGGAGACACCTTGCAAGGATGGACAGTCCCTTATCTGGCAGAGGAGGCAGACCATTCACTGCTCACACCTCTACCCAAGGATGAATTTTGCTAGGGAAACCAGTGGCCCTCAGTGGGAAGCAGGGAAGATAGCTCTTTACGAGCTCTGGCTGGACATAGGCAGGGCCCCGGTACCCAATGCCCAAGTGATCTGTATTTGGGTGCTGGGATTTTTCTTAATTTTCTTTCTTTCCTTTTTTTTTTTTTTTCTTTCTCTGTTTTTAGCCCTTTAAAAACAAACTTCAGATTCATCACATGGAAGTGATCTCATCGCATTACAGATTCGCCTTCCTGGGAAACTAAACTTCTGGTGTAATCATGGGAAAGTCTCACCTTCCCTTTTTTAGTTTCCTTTAACCAAGGTTCTATTGAAATCGGCTTGGCAGGCTAACAACTCAGAAGCTAAGAGACAAAAGACAACTCTTCATTACTATTAGGATTTGTTTTAATCTTATGATTTGCTTATCATTCTCATGATTCTGGGGAGATGGCAAGCCAGTTTTGAATACTTAATGGCATATATGTGAATCTATAGAGAAGGCAGGTCCCCTCATAATATGTTTTACCAACACAGCAGTCTGTCTGTCCCACTGCCAACAAAAAAAGAAGCCCCCTAATTAATTACTGCTCCATCTTTTGTAGTCTTCTTTGAGCTGCAACAGTTTCTGTTCACTCCTACTCTTATTCTAACTCTCACAAATCCTTTGCACAACTGGAAACCCGGCTTAGCAAATCCAATATCGCCATAGTCAAGCGAGGAAGGACTTGGCTCCTCTTCAAAGGGAGCTTTTATCAAGTGTTTAGTGTGATGTGACAAAGCAGGGAAGTGTGCCATGGATGCGATGCTTCCAAATTCCCCCCCTTCTACTGTGATTAAACTTAAGAGCGATTACCCAGGTTGATGAACCTGCCAATGTGCATCTTGTTTACAGCTTTGCTGAGTTTTTAACATGTTTTCCTGTTTTGGACTAGGACAGCACACTTTCGCTTTATGCCCTCGATAAAATCCCGTTTAAAACATGGAGTTTCTAATGTTTTGCCACTAGAACTATGGGAAGAAGAAAGCCTTTCCTGAGGTGCCCTGGGACATCGCTGCTCATGTGCAGTCATGGTTGGGCCCCAGCAGACCTCCGAGGTCTTGCTGCCAGAGGAAGAAAGCTTTGGATGGGGCCAGGAGAAATGAAAAAGATTTATCCTGGGACTGTTTTATTGTGCTTGGAACAGGCATGCACCGTTCGGTGTGAGCGGGCTCAAGACGCTGCTGTAAATCCCAGATGAAAGTTTCATGGCCTTTGCCATTTCATTTTGCCCTGTTTTATTTTGTGTGTTTCCCTCTCATCCCTGGATTCCACTTTATTCCTAATTTTGATAAATTTAGAACATTGGATCAAAGTCTTATTTAAAAAAAAAAAAAAAACCCAACAGATTTTGGCAATCAATACGTTGCGAAACGTATTTATTTTACCAATTTCCCAGTTGCCCAAAGAGGTCACTTTAAAAATGACTGCATCTGACTCGTTTTACTTGAAAAAATCTTCTTTCATTTTTCTCTCTTTTTTCTTTTTTTCTTCACAAGAACCAGGACAATTTTCAGAGGAACTTTACCAGGAGAAATGCACACCAGCACCTGGTGAAATTTCCGTGTTTGGGTTTGAATCTGTCAGGTTATGTGGAGAAAAACAAATATGTCGTGAATTTTCCAGTTCAGTCGCTTTGTAGTTTGGTGTTCTTGCCTTGCAGTCAGGGCAGAATACACCTGGGGACAAGAGCTGCCCACCCTGGTCATTCTGCCTCTACCCTGTGTTTCATCCAGCTGGCCCCTGCCCATCGCTCTATGCCCAAGCAGACAACCGGCTTCCTCCAGATAATCTTCCCTCCTTTTGTGGACTAAAATCATAGAATCACAGACTGGTTTGTGTTGGACAGGGCCTGAAGATTACCTGGTTCCAACCCCCCTGCCATGGGCAGGGACACCTCACACTAAACCATGTCACCCAAGGCTCTGTCCAACCTGTCCTTGATTACCACCAGGGATGGAGCATTCACAAACCTCCCTGGGCAACCCATTACAGTGCCTCACCATCCTTACAGTAAAGAACTTTTTCCTTATATCTAACCTGAACTTCCCTTGTTTAAGTTTGAACCCCAAAATGACATGAAACACTCTATTTCAGTTGCAGGACAAATCAAGATTATGACATGGCACTGACCCGTTCTTTGCCAAGGACTCACTTGTTGCCTGTGAAGCCATTTGTGGACAGTGGTGGGACACCAGGCCCAGTTCATGGTTGACCATCACTCTGTGCCAGGACTCCAAATGAGGTACGTGCTTGCTCCCAGGACTGACACGGTTCACATATGGCAAGGTCCTGGATGCAAAGGTACCCTCTGCGCACTGCAGAGGGCTTTTTAGTGGGCCTGTGCTGAGGCAGCACCAGGTCAGCTCTTGGCTGCTTTGCCCACCTTGCATGCAGAGGAGAATGTTGGCTTAGCCTGGGTGGGATCTGCCTTTGAGCGCTTGGAAGTGGGAAGCACCTGATTGCAGGCTGGGACACGATGCTGGGAAGCAGCCTTGGCCTTTGGCCAGCCCAAAACAGGGAGGTGGCAAAGCTGCCTTTGATGCCTCGACTCCTGTGGAGTGGTAGCTCCTGGAGGGGTGGCCCTGCAGGCAGAGCCATGGTAAGGCTCTCTAACAAGCTGTTCCCATTCCTGCTCGCTGCGGATGGGGCAGCCCATCGGCTCTCCACTGTGCTGGAATATCAGCCAGCGCTGGTGCCTTGGCTCTGTTGTTTCGGGCTGCAATGTGTAATTTTTAATCCCTCTATTCAGACTGTTTCCATGAACAGGAGGAGAAACATACAGCATATGCTCACCTCGGCTGCCAGGAGGAGTGGGGGAGTGTGTCCCAGCAGCTGCTGGGGTAATGCTTGTCCTTCTGTCCATGACTGCGTCCCAAAGATGTGCTCAGAGTGCTTGGGCATCAGCCCCGTAAGCAGGTGGGCTCTACCAACTGAGCATGACTTGTGGGGCAAAGTCCCTTCCTCCCCTCAGCAACCCAGCGGGGTCATGGGCAAGTGCAGTGCAGAGGGACTGGAGGAGGGACTTTTTCCTCTCCTATGTCTCCCTCAGGCAGACCAGCTTCACAGCTGTACTGGGGCACTTCAGAGGTACAGGTTATCCCACAACAGTCACACTGGCACAGAGGCTTTTGGGATACAGGTGCCTTCGGTGTCTGGAAATTGGTTGGGTTAAGGATTCATGTTTGACCACAGAGGGTCTATGGTGAGATCTGGGCTGGACACAGCTGTGGCCTCAAAGCACGTAAGATACCTGCAGCAGTAGTGAGTAGGGGCAGGATGCAGTGCTCAGCCACGAGAGACCTGGATCCTGTATCACCCAGTGTCTTCCCTTGCCATCACATCTCCAGCACATCACTCCTTGATGTGCTGTCATTGCTCATTGTCCTGGCCATTGTCCTGACCCTACTTGCAGTAAACAGGAACAGTGTTGGTGGCGCTGGTGGACCTAACATCTCCTCCCTTGTTCCCTCCTGCACCCCTCCCCTGCCTACCCTGATCTCACTCTCGCTGCATTGCCTGCTCTGGGCACCATCTGGTGAATTTTGGGCTGTCTCATCTCACCAACTGTCATTTGTCCTGGCTGTGGTGTAAACGTGCTCACACTTTGCATCAAAGGACCCCTAAACCATTCACTTTGTGGACCAGCCGGCCTGTCGGAGAGGAGCCAAGCAGTTGGCACTCAGTAAGCAGCAAGCATTAATAAAAGCATTACAGTGAGGTTAGTGCCTCATTAAAGTAATGCTAACGAACCGGCTGCCTTCCAGAAGTATGAATTTTTAACTAATGCTTCCTCCTTCTGATTTTATGTATAATTAAATCTTCCTAGGGAGGCAATATTCAGTTCTCCAGGCTGCTACAGCCTAAGCAAAGCCCAGTTCAGAGGATTTGCTCTGGAAATGCACTGGAGCTGTTGAGAGCAGTCTCTGGCCACATCCTGCAGCCTCATTGTACATCGTGCACAATCTCTGTGTATCCATGCTGTGCATCCATGGCAGCATCCTGGATTCAGAGACACTGAAATGAAAAGCTGGGCACCTCCTGTTTGCTGCTAGTGCAAAGAGTCGGGGAGAGGGCCTATGCCATGCCGTCCATGGGCACTCACTGCTCCACAAACAGCATCTGAGCTTTGCTGGATGGAGACCGCCGGGTTCGGGGACTGATGCATCTAGTCCAACAAAGCAGCAGGGATTTGTACCGGAGGGGTTTTGCTCTGGGCCCTGCTTGAGCACCCTTAGGGCTGGTTCCACCGGGTGCTGCTGGGTCCCCATGCAGCTGGGGCAGACACCCGACTGCCTGCAGAGCCCCATGGCTCCATTGTAAAGCAAATCAGTTCTCCCTTGTGCAAGGAATGGCCTGTTCTTGGGCAGGCTTGGCAGCGCAGGGAGGAAAGCAGCTGCTCCAGGACTCACAGCCCCTTTTTACTGCATCTGCTTGGCTTTAGAAGTGTGTGCGTGACAGGCACGTGAGCGATGGTGCTGCTGGGTGCGCAGCCACTGGGGCATCTCGCTGGCCGGGCGGCTGAAGCTCTTCCCTGCTCGTGTGAGCGCTCTGCTGGTCCTCCTCATACCTCCAACAGGCTTTTGTTCTCATGCTCCCTCTGAAGCAAACCCAGAGGTTTCGTTGTCAAAGGACAGTGGCTGGAGGATGAATTCCTCTCTTTTACCTTGCCTGATGGTGAGGGTCAAGGGCAAACCTGGTGGTTTTAATGATAAATAATCACTTCCTTGAACAAAAGCAACCACTCCAGATGGTTTCTGCTATGTTTAGTAGCTCATTTGAATGGTCTGCAGGGGGAGAGGGTGTCATCAAAATGAATTTGGTATTACACCACGGAGTTATGTTTGGCTTGTTCGAGAGACTGACTCAGTGCTCAAAGAAGCTGCAGGTTTGTGCTAAGGCTGTTCCCCTGCTACTTCCTAGAGTTTATGGGTTACAGGGAGCTACCCAAGCAATGACTGGGCTTTTGGGTGAGCATGCCTGGGGCTGGCAATGGCTCAGGGTGAAGGATGACCAGAGCCTGGGGGAGTTCACGTCTCACTGATAACTATCCTCTTTGTTTCAGTGCAGAGTTTGCTCTTGCAGCTCTGCAGACAAGCACTATCCTCACTGCAGTGAAATTAATAGGGTGTCTAGGGGCAAAGGTAAAACTAAAGTACATAAGTAAATGTTTGCAGGATCAGGACCTTATTCAGGCATACATCAGGTAGCTCCAGCCAACAATAGACTTATCTAAGTATAAAATCCTATGTAAGCCAGTGAGATCAGCTCCAACCTGCTATGAATTTGCTTTTTGTTTCCATGCCAAGAATATATCACTTCTAACTGCTGCAATCAGGTCTGGTCCTTTTTATGGTGTTGTGGTTTTTTTTTTTAAGTGCTTTGGGCACATTTATTTCCCATCACCAGCAGATACACACAGAGCCTGACCCTCCTTTTCTTGGGCATGTCCCAGCCTGTTTCACCCACAATAAGTTGTCACTATCAGGGAGTATTTTTTATTCCCTTGCCTTTTCTGTTGCTGCATTCAGTCAACAAAGGGACAGCAACGATGATCCAAAACTGTTCTTTGTATTTGCCTGGGAACAGAGTCAACTATTTGTTGGTCTTTTGCTGGTGGGGAATTCTTTCTTTCTTAGCTGGTGACCGTTTAAACGGCTACTGGTACCTGTGGTGCAGCACATACTGGTGTTGCAGGATGTGTTCCAGATGGCACTGGGCAAACACGGAGCAGGAAGTGATGAGGAACTGCATGTGGAAGGTATCAGATCAAACCAAAGGTCCCGGGCACAGAGGTCCCCACTGTTCCTCCCAGAGAACATGAAAATAGGCTGGTCATGGCATGTGCCTCAGTTTCCCCAGTTCTCAGCACACTGTTTTGAGATGGCTCTAAGGCAATGTTTGCAGCAGCTGAGCCAGGATGGGACCAGTTCTTGCAAATGAGCTTAGGCAAAATACCTGGGAGACGGAAGGCAGGGAGAGATGGGGGAGAGAGAAAGAAGCTGGAGGCTCTGTTTAGAGTGAGGGCAAACTTATTAGTCCCTCCATCCCTAGGGCTGTGCAGCAGCAGAGCAAGCAGTGAAGGCCGCTCCTGGACCAGGTCCCATTCCCTTCCCTGCCTGTCTCTCCAAGAACAGCCCATGAAAAGGCGCTTGAAAGCCCATGCAGAGCCTTCCCTGCCTGTTACACTAGGACACAGCAGTCCCAGGTAATGCATTTCCCAAGTGACATTCAGGCTCTTCCATTACTTCTGAAAATGGTCCGGATGGCCCCGATTGATGTGCTGTAGCAAAATGCTGCCTGTGGCCTGCTTTGCTGTGACTGCCCTATTTACTGGTGGTATGGGGGTTTTTTAATAGGCTTTGCCTTCTCAGTCTTGTGTCTTGAAGCAGAAGCAAAACCCACCAGGTGACTCTAACTGCTGTTCCCACAGTTGTGCTTTCCTTGCGGCGTAATCACAGCTCGGTATCTCAGGTATGCCAGAAATGGGAATCCTTCTCCCACACCATGCAAGGGGCTGCTGGCTGGCAAGGAAAACAAATCCCCCTGAGCTGCTGTCCTTTAGAAGCCGTTATTTCAATAGACCTCAAAATGAAGAAGTGCTGGGTGGAAGCCAGGCCTCACTTGTGAAATGGCCACACTGGAGCACTTGGTGCTCGGCTGCCAGCGCGCTTGCCCTAGTGCAGCGGCTCCCAGGCAGGGTCTGCAGCACAGCAGCCTCCTCTCTCTGCTCTAGGCTGTTCTGGGGAATGTTTTGCAGCCCCATGAGGATTTCCACTTCCCCATCCATTGGGGAAGGCAGTGATGTGCTGCTGCCCTTCGCTGTTTCTTTCAGGGCTTAGTTTTGTTCAGCTCTGGAACAAACCCCAAGCCCTCTGAGGGAACACCCAGTGTCAAAGCATCTTCTTGCATCCCTAGAGCGGTGCTTTCCTCCCACATGTCCCCATGCTTTGGGCACTGGTGTGTGCTGGGGACATCCTGGTGTCATTAGAGCCATTTGTCACCCCTGGGTGCTCAGGGGCTGGGGTAGGAGCTGCTCCCCTGCCCCTGCCAGCCATAACCACTGCTGGTGCTGCAAACCAAGCCCCCCCCTGCAGCTGAACATCCCCGGGAGCCATATGGCATCGCTGAGGCTTTGATTGAATTGAATGAAACCCAAAGCAGCCCAGCAGGTTATACTCCAAGCCACGGGGAGCTCGAGGGGGGCCTGTCCTACCCTGCTTGGGGCTTGCAGGTTGCCAGCC